GGAGTATTGAGAAGACAACGGTTTTACGATTATACAAAACCGCCACATAAAAAACTATAAACAGCGTCATGTTCGTAGTAATAATAATAGTAATAATAATAAATTAATAGTAATAATAATAATAATAATAATAATAATTATCATAAAAAATTACGAACAAACAATAATAATTAACTTTGCGAATATCACAACTGTTAAAACTAACGTCTACGCGTAAACAAACAAAATTCAGATCGAGAAATTAATAATAATCAAAACAAATCTTAAGTCTAACCTGTCCCGGGGTCAATCGCTTTCGGCTTTGTCATCCGATGATTAATTAATTATTCATTGGCTACCACTACCTATAGTTTATAGGAACATGCTAAAAGTGCATAATAATCAGCTTTAAAAAAAAAAAAAAAATGTTTTCTTACACTCATCAAAGGGCAAGACTCGAACGGTTTTACTAAAATATATATAATATATTGTTCGGAACGTTCGACGTCCTTTCTGACGATGATGTGCACTAGGACAATATTTATAGACGTTCGCATTCCCCGCAGGCGGTTGTGGAATGACCGCGCCTGAGCACCAGCGGCCAGTGCACCAGACTATGTACACGAATAGTATAACACAATTATATATGTATGCACACCGGTGATCAATTCAGTGGTATGGTAATGTGTGAACTGTAAATATATATACACCGATAAAATTATGTAAACGCTATAACGTTTGTCACCTATCTCACATTAATTAATATTATTATTTGTTTAATATTTTTGCCGAAAGTGTTACGATAAATAAGACATTACCTAACGTGTTTATAGTTTAAAATTTCGAATTGTTCGAGAGAAAGAAAAAAAAAACGAAKGAGTTGACTAGATGAAGCTTAAGAGATAATTTTAGTGTGCAAAAATAATATCAAGTAACATGTTAAGAACATTCAAATTTAACGCTACACCATACATATATTTGTTTTGTATATGTTTGATGGTGCATGGAGATAACGACTATGCATCATCATCGACCACACGGGTTATCAAATATGTATATATATATATTTAAAAAAAAATTTGGTCTTTGTAGTCTTCAGTTGGGTTTCTTTTCATCGCTGAGAAGAAAACACTTTTCTTCTTGAGATCATAAATTCTGCATGCCAACTAATGGTGATAGGGATGGTAGATGATTTGTAGGGTATGGGTTGGAGTGGATGGGGTAGAGTGTTTTGGGAGGAGGAATATAGGGGTGGTTGTTTGGTGGGGAGAAGAAGGAAAGCGTAGGAGGTTAGATAAAAATATCACATTGCACTATCGTTAACGATGTTTAAAATCACTTTTTGGTAGCTATGCCCCGCTGAGTTAGTCCTTCGAACCGCTTAAACGTGTAGTTGATGAACACCCAGTCTTTGTAGATCACTTCACCGTCTTGCGATATCGGTGCCGACGCTGGAAGAGAACACGGAACGGAAATGGATTAGTACAACGATACAGCGGGCATACGACACCACATTCGTTGTCGTCGTAATAAATAGGTACTCACGTATTTCAAGCTTGACGTCCGGGAAGTCGTCAAAGTTGGAAGTGTCGTCGATGGACTTGACCTGGACGGGTATGGCGGCCGGCCGTTCTCTGATATGTTCCCAGTCGACGCCACGGAAGAACGCTATCGTTGAACGGAGGTCGTCAATGCCGCGTCCGCTGTAGCCAAGACGGCGGTCAGATTCACAACAGAATCGGGTGATGGCGTCGCGCGCCTCCTCACTGATTGGCACTTCAGCCGGGAAGCTCAGCGTCTCCCGCCAATTCATAACCTTCCTGTACGTTTCCTGAGGATTTTCGCTGCAGAACGGCGGRTATCCTACAAACGAATGAGAMTGATTAGCAACGGCACGGATAACGTATTTTATTATAATAATTGTCGTTGGTCTTAGCTGTATATTTTGTGTCTTTTTATACAATCTTATTAAAATCTCYACATAAATAACGTGTAATTTCAATACTTCACTAAATATCAACTGCKGCTGCTGTTTTTGGAGTTAAAAACCTTTCTAGATTAGGTATATAATTATCCAAACTTTTTAACAGTGTCTATAGTTTTATCATAGGTAACAATTATTTTGAAAAAAAATCAAGTGATACATGAAAATTKATTTCAAAAGGTATTTGATGCACAAATCTGAAAACATTATATTTAAATGTATTGATCACGTTTCACATTCACGAGAACATCTCTTAAGACAAACAGGAAACGTGATTACAATAAAGGGACTCTGCATTGGGTAATATTAATTATAATCGCAGTTATAGTAATTGTTTCAAGTGCGAGTTTCGTTTTATTATGCATGTTGATGGGCACACACACACACATACGTTTGCATTTACGATATACAATTATGAAGGTGTAWGTCTAAGTGGATGGCCTTATGAAAATGCATATATTAAATAATGTGTACACAAGAAAGCAGGGTTAGCTCAATGAATAGAATCTAAAGTCACGGTTTGGAAAAAATAATAATTAATGAAAGATATAAAATATTCAACTGCTGTTTCAATAATATTGTTGGAGTACCTAATGCTTTTTTTGGTACACTTTGTTTTGAAAGCATTAAAACATCTTTTAAACTAATTGAATATAAAATAGTTGAAAATATTACCGTCATAAATCTTATATTATGAACGGTATAAAATATGAGTAAAAAGAAAATTAATGACTACAAAAAACAAGATTCAATAACAACTTAAAAACGAGAAAAATTTGGAATTAATTATAAAATATGAACATTGAAACATGATTTTTAYACAAAAACCTCAAATTAACTTTGTCGTAAAACTTAATGATGCAGCTATACAATAAAATGGTGGCTTATTCAAAGTCAACTATACACGTTTTGAGGAAGATAAATAATTGGGAAACTATATTATATATATATATGTGTGTGTGTGTGTGTGTGTGTGTGTATAAATATCATTGTAGTAATATTATAGCCTCTCTACAAAAACTCCATGCGTCTCTATACAGAATAAAGTTAAACAAAATACTAAATACGAATGAAAACTATAGGCACGAATTCCTCACCGATTAGCATTTCGTACATGATGACACCGACGCTCCACCAATCACACGCAGGACCGTAACCGGTCTGGAGGAATACTTCGGGTGCAATGTAATCCGGCGTGCCGACTGTGCTGTAGGCCAGCGCCCGGCGATTTCTCTTCCAGCTCTCCGCACGCCGTTTGCTGTCCATCGGACTCGATGCTGGCGAACAGAAAAAACCTAAATATAAGTTGGGCATGCCGTTTGAATTTTCGATGATATACACTCACTGAAATCCGACGGTTTAGCCTGGCTCAGGTCTCTGTAGAAATCCGTCCGGTGCGACTTTTTCAGGCCGGTACACAATCCGAAATCGGACAGTTTTATGTGGCCCCTAGCGTCTAGTAGTAGATTGTCGGGTTTAATATCCCTGTACGAGTTACAAAAAGGTATAAATATATATGTATATAATTTATAAAGGATAAGAATGTCACGTGACGTCTTGTAAAGTATAATATGACAAATGTAAAATAATAAAGCATCAAAAACATATTTTTTTGTAAAAATACAAGACTGCGTACGTGTTTTTAACAATCTATCGAACCTGTGTATAAATCCGAGTTTGTGTATAGAATCAATAGCCAACGCAGTTTCTGCGATGTAAAATTGCGTACACTCCTCGCTGAGTGTATCTTTTTTCATGAGTAGCGTCATCATGTCACCACCAGGCAGGAACTCCATTATAAGGTAAAGGTTTATTGGATCCTGGTAAAAGTCAAGGGGTTAAGTTTTATTATTAATATTTTCTGAAAAGGTCTTTTAGTACATTTTTTTTATTTTCTATACCGCGATCGATATATACACGTCGTCACCACACCAAAGCGGTCTGGGGCGTACTACAATTAATAATTCATTTGCAAACATCGGGCTTGAGGAAATAGTTACCTGAAAACTATAGTACATTTTAACGACCCACTGGTGATCAGCTTCGACGAGCACATCCCTTTCTGCACGGACGTGTGCCACTTGTTCCTTTTCAAGCATGTCGGCTTTGCGTAGGATTTTCATGGCGTAAATATGACCAGTGTCTTTCTTTTGAACCAGTCTCACCTAGACATGAATCCAATAYATTATATTATATAGGAGATTGTATCGTTTCAAATGGAATTTAAAAACACATAAATGTATATTTTATAAAATCTATCCATAACTTACCATTGTATCAGTACATATTATTATATTATATCATTATTCTAAATAAGTGTAACTAATGGCCTTTGCTGTCGATGTTAATATGTTCAATAATAATAATAATAAAAAAATCTATCCATACTTAATTATAATATCATGCTATACAGTTTTATTACTTTTATAATATTATGTTTATATATTATATATAAAACTATAAATCAGAAGATTAATAAAAATTTACACTTTTTCTGGTCCCTTAAGGCGTAAGTATTATGTAGATTATAKCAATAATAAATAATACACACCTTAAACAGCGATGAGTATTTCAAATTATTAAAAAAAATTKAATATATATTTTAAAATTAGTTTTGCCATTATAGATCTTACAAATTCGARATGCTCTAGTATTYGAGTACATTTTCCACTTTCGGTTGCTAGAAATTTTTATTAATTCCAGCATATATCGACGTAAAATATAAATAACTTTGGATATTGAATGCGAACTCTTTTTTTTGTAAATTCATAATATTTAAAATCCTTTATAGTCACATAATATGAGTCATAGGGTTATATCTAAGGTTATATGYTGTATTGTGTGTACTTAGATATACCAATTCAAATGAYTTTAAATATACGTTGTCAAAGTAAACAAAAAATGTACTATTTTCTATAGATTGTTCGCATTTGTCTTGAATTTGTGAGTTTGCATATACCGAATAAGGCAAATAAGGCAAATAATAAACATTAAGCATTGTGATTTCGTACAAAATGCAAATAACATGAAATACATAACATATGTCTTAGGAAATCTTTGTTATTGTCGATTGCTAAATTTATTTTATGTCAGCAGGCCGCAATATACCACATAATAGAAGACAAAGATGTCTTTGCCATGTTTAAACTACTAATGTATTCTATACCTACTTAGACAAACGAAATATTAGACAAAGGATAGCACGTGTAACCTTTCAATAGTATAATAATGTACAATTATTCCTAAACTTGAATATTATAAAAAAAATTTAGAGGAATAATGAGCTCAAATCAAATATTTAGAATCAAAGTATGATTATGGAATAATAATATAATAATTATAAAAGTTTATATTGACACATATTTTTTATATAATATAGGTAACCACATACTTTTTTTTTTAGGTGCGATAACCGAATTTATTTATAATAATAGCAAGAAAAATTAAGAAGTTAAGTTTTCCTTTTTTTCTTATCTTTTTACCATATTTTAAAGCTAAAAAATGAATAGAATAAACTTTAAGTTGGTAAATTTTTACTATTTAGTGCRTAGTGTATACACTACACATTTCATTATTTTTGTTATACATTGCACAACTTTTTTGAATTAACGATTATTCGCTAAGGATATATTTATAAGGATTTTCAAATGAGTTTAATAGAAACTACATATAATATATTTAATATAATATAAAAAGTCTTTCTATTTAGTTGATTTTGTGCTATTTACACGAAAAAGACCATTTAAACTCTCTTCATAATAATTATAATAATAATAAAAATGACATATTTTATAAGTTTTTATTATTTTCTATTAAGCCAGACGACYGTGCTAAAAAATGTATTTAAAGAGGTAAATTAATGGAATACTAATTTATTGATTTTTTACTAGTATAATCTTTTCTTAATGATTCACTGGAAAAAGCTAWACTTTAAAGTATACTGGAACATAAAAATTACTTCTAATGATCGCTAGGTTTAATACTATAGGTACCTACATAGATTACTGAACCTAACTAATTAAAATAATGAACAGTATCAATATATTAAATTGCTTTTTAAATTTTAGTKTACTTAATCATTTGTTTTTATATAACAGAATAGTGCAAAAACAATATTACACTTAGTCAAAATGTTTTTATCACAAGAAAAATCAACATGTCAAACAAAATGTCTGTGATGTGATGGCWTTTTTTGGTAAAAAAAAAAACAAAACTATTAAATGGAAATAAGAATTTTAATTTAAATGACATTGCCTGCTATTATACTATTATAGTATACATCCATTATATAAATAGTAGATACATTATATTATATATTTATATGTAATAATACCAATCGATTTCTACGAAGTATCCTTAACATATTTAATATTTATCAATGCCAAGGAAATACTTGAAAACCGTATAACACAATATATACATATAAATATATAATTTATAACAATATTGGCCTCATATTTAATAGGTAATTTATTTTCGATTACTATACTATACCACAGCTAAATATACTGTCTATAGTAAAAATCTAAGTCGTCGATCAAAATATCAAACACGTTTTTGTTCAATACAATATAAATGAATGATGCATTATTATTTAAATATGTTTATAAACGGTATCTAAATATACAATTGGTTTTCTAAAATTTGGTACATTTTAATATGCATATTTAGAAGGAACGGGTATAAAAAATAATTTAATGCCCATCTACACAAGTTAAGTATAATAAAGTGGAGAAAATGCACCAATCGAAGATTATGAAAAACAAAACAAAATATTTATATATATAGAAAATCTTGTCGGATGAAAAACCTAGTTAAAATAATAGCACTATAGGTATAAGGAATACATAATACGAATTTAGGTTAAAATCGAATGGAACCAATTTATCGATCCAAATAGCAAATGGTGGCTCGATGTACCATGACTGATAGTGCTATATATAATATCATTAACCACACAACTTCCGAATAAAAATCAAAAAAGAAAAAAGGTAAAATAAAGTAATAAAATAAATAAATAAATGATGAGTTACCTCTCCAAAAGCACCTCGGCCAATGACCTTTAACGGTTCGAAATCCTCTACTCCCAGCCTCGATCTCTTGAGCCTTAGAAATTCCGATTCTTTTTGCGCATGTTGCTGGCGTTTTTCCTGTTTCTGTTGTTCTGACAGACTTTCATCCTTCAATGTTTCTTCAAGTTTTGCCAACCTGTAAACATAATTCAAATGAATTCATAACTATGTGTATATATTTATAATATTTATATTCATCGTGGTCAAATAAAAACGTCACCGTAACTGACCTAACTTATTTATATTATTATGTTATTTATAAACGCATATTGCATCCACTGAACATGTGTGTACAAATATTATGACGCCGATCGAATAAATATTAATTGCTCTACTTTCAATGAATAGAAACCCCTTAAATCGCATTGWATTTAAATGTTTTTAATTGTATTTTTATTATGCAATATACAAATTATTGGCCAATTATAGGGAATTATTTTTTCATTCAGAGAGGCTACCTGTCATATAATAGGTAAGCTATAAATACAGACATATTCATCGTGGTGGAATAAGATCGAGATTTCTATTGAATGAAGTGTACGCACGGTGATGAGTTTTCTTTTTATATTTTTTACCATGCGAGAATAACAATAAGACATTTTATATTATATTGGCAATAAGAGAGAAAAATTAAATTGGAAGTCTCGATATAGCGTGTGCAATATACATGGCACGGAAACAGTTTGCATCGGGAKCGTTGTTAAACGGACCGTTACACAACAATGCAAGGTTTACCACTTATAAATAATCAGGTCATTCTATAAAATCACTTAAAAGTTATAGGTACCTAAAATTATTCTTATTCTAATACGAAATCTGGCAGGAAATTGAATGGCTGAGCTAGTGATGAGGTATAGATAAAATTAAAACAAAACATTGACAGGTAACCTACCAACACTGAATTAGTGACGTTTTACCTACGTTTTTTTTTCCTTTAAGGGTGGAAAACAATATAATACTAATATGATGTTAATAACATGATAAATTAAACTAGGTATACATTAATGGATACAACTAGTTTATTAATTTTTTTTATTTTTATACTGATCACACTCTCCACATAAATTTAAAGTAATTTAATTCCAAATCCTTAACGACTTAAAATACAGTTTATGTTACACAAATTTCTGATGCGAACTCTTAATTTTTACGGTTTTAATCTTTTAATCAAATGTCATGATAACTTTTTAAAAACAACAACGATGCGGATTATCTAGAATCTAGATGATAATTTATAAAAGCGAATATAGTTGGCAGGAATTCGTATAATCATAATTTCTTATAKAATAAAACCTAATCAGAAATTAATGTTASCTTTTAGAAAAATCATACCCACCAAAGTATAATGTAGAGTTCCCTTCACTAAATCGGCAATACGAAATTCGAATAATCGTATGTACACATTTGTGTTATATTTTAGGAAGACATGAAGCCTAAAATGTATTTCTAAAACAATGAGTTAATTTACCCCAATAATAATAATAAAATAAAAATTTACCTATGTTATTGATATATCATCTATCAGCTATCTGATACAATATAAATATATTTATATATATTTTGAAGTTTTAAAAACGTTTTGATTAAACATATGAGTTGTGATTTTKAGAAAGTGATATAAGAACATAAAATTAAAAAAAATTGAAACATCCATTTAAAAAGGGAATAAATAATCAATTAATTATTTCAATTTTCAATTAAATACATGAAAGTAGAAAATGAAAATAAATTATATTTACATTGATCACAATTTACTATAGCCTTGTTAATTAACATAAAAACCAATTATGTGKATTTGATTAGATATCATATTTACCTTAGTATATACGCATTGTTTTACATAATGCATTATCATGATAATTAATGTAATTATATCATACACGTATAAGTATTACACAACACATATTTKTATATCTGCAGGTATGAAACAAACTTTATTAATATTTGGATATTAAAAGGTAATTAGAAAATATGAACATTGAACATACATAATATTAGATCGGTTTTMAGCGATATTATGCAATAAACTAATAATATGCAAATCAATGAAGATAAATAATATTTAAAATAGGTACTCAATAATTTTATTTTGGTGAATTTTGTTCTACAACAATAACGGTATAACCAATTTACAAAAATTAGGAAAACGGTCATACAACAGAACGAGTATCTATCGAGTACCTATCGATCGAAAAAAAAAGAGAAATTAATAATTATAATAATAGTTTATGATAAGGCCGACATAGATTAATAATGACGTGTAAAACAAGAAAGAAAAAAATAAGAAATTGGCCTTCGAAAAGCAAAATTAAAACTATTCAGTCGTTTGTATACATAAAAATATATTACCTATATAATATATACATTAATACATAGTACATAGTGCCTATAATATTGCCTTATGACCCAATTATTTTTACTACCTTGATACAAAAAACGGCTTTAGATGAATTCTCAAGGGATAAATTGATAAAAATCAATTCGGTAAGTGTGATTGATTCCAATRTTCTAAAAAAACGGAGGTTGGCGCCGCGGCATCGGCGAAAATGGAAGACTATTCAGAACAGGTGCCTGCAAAAGAGGTCCCTTTTGATAACAGATAATAAATAAAAGTTTAGGAAATCAACTCGTTTCCCGGAGGGATATCGTTTGGAACCTTTCTGAAATCGCGTAGAAGTGAATAATATATGTAACGTGGGTATAACAAATAATATATTTTATAGACAAATATAGATAGAATATATGATTGAGCATAACTATATAGCTATAATATACTATGATGATAATGCAGGAATATTATAATGATGTATTTTTAGACGAGGAACAGATCAATCAAATTTAATTGAAAACAAAAAATATTAACTTGTTAAACACGAGCACGAATCAAAAAAAAACGATATATTCAGCATTAAAGTTATTTAACTTTTTCAAACTATTCAGCTATAATAACAACCGTTTTCTCGGAAATATTCGGATTGTCCGTTGGCTTTTTTTAACCATAGCATTATTAAACTTACCTAATTGAAATTAATGTCAAATTTTGACATTTSTTATTATTCTATATTTTTGTGCACAACAATGAGTATTGTTGAGAAAAACTTTGAGAAGAAGTCGGAAAAAAATTAGTTTGACGTTTGACCGATCGAAAATCATTTCATAAAAAATAAATAAAATAGTCCAGGGAAATACTGCAGGTGACACGCAATATACAATTAGTTAAAAGAAATCTTATCGATTTCAGCTGACAAAATGTACGTGCGTTCGTGATTGAAAATCCACGTCACTGCAGAAATGGTTGGGGTAATAACCGTCATTATCGTTTTGGTTCCACGAATGAGAATATCGCCCTTTTAAGTAGATCATAATAATGCGCATAAATTACACGGCATTACGTATACAAGTGCCGAGGAATTTTCAATGCGTACCTATACTATACAAGTACATTAAATAATTCGTGCACATACTCGTATAGTGTTATACCCTTGTCTCTGGTGGTATTAAAGGGTTTTTTTTAAATCAAAACACTGTACTGACCCGATGTCAGTGTTCCCGTAAGTTCGTCCAATCTCCGACTATGGTATGCGCGCGTGATCATTGCAGTGACGGCACGATCGAGAGAAAAATCGGAGAAACGAAAAAACAAAATTCTCGACCATTACGATAACATTTGATATCATATTGATAAGTTGACAAGTTGTTCGTAATTATATTTTTTGTTTGTAAACGAATAATAAAATAAAATTGTACCTATAGGTTTGTTCCAAATGTACCTATTATCATTGACTATAAATACTATTGTATTATAACTATATAGTATTTATAATCAATGCTATTATATATTATATATACTATAATATGTAGGTGCCTCTATTATTGGTTATAACAACTGTATCTGGCAGACACCTATACTGCTGCAAGAAGAACAATTTATTCGTAGGAAATATCTTATAAATTTACTCGAATTCGAATGTTCGTAATCCATCATAATCTACAGTGCACTTATAGA